CTTAGGTACGAGCCAGCAGCTGCTTTTGGCGTGATCGTCTCCGTCAATTCCAATATCACATATGATAGCTCGGGGAAGCACCTGCTAGCTCCGGCCTCGAGAAGCTCGGCGTCTGGCACGTCCGGCAAGGAGTCTGCGTCAAAACCCGAACCCCTTCTCGGTCCTCGCGTGGCCCCTCTCTTGCCGTAGTTATACACACTTTTCTAGGCAGCCCTTCCTCAAGCTATTGTCAATTTGTCACATTTGTTTTTGTAAAGGACTACAACGCCCTGTTAATAAATAAGAATTTGCATGACCAAAATACCCCAATTCTTCTTCTTCTTCTTCTTCTTTTTTAAGTCAAATTGATAAATGTATATTAGATAAATTTTTAAAAAATTTTAAGTCTTTAATAAGTTCAAATATTTGAGGAAGGGGTGACTAATTTTGAGATACATAACATGTATAAATGAAAAGATAAATATTAATTATTATATTGAATAATTTTTTTTAATGATTATAAGGTTAAACCCCTCATTAGATCTCTCAGTTATTATACAAACCTTTGATTTAATCCATAATTTGGTCATTACTATTTATCATTTTAACCCCTACTTAGTCCTTCTGTTAAAAATCCACTGACGTGTCCTGTTAGTTGATGAAAAAGGATGATATGTAAAAATATTTTGACGTGTGGGATTGACAACATGAAATATAAAACTTGACACGTAATTTTCAATAAAATTTAAAATATCTAAAATTAATTATAAAACAAAAATTACTTTTTTACCCTTATCTTCAACCACACATCAATTTCTTTCCATTTTCCTTTCATTACCCTTTCATTCTCATCTCTAGCATCCTATGTTGTTCATCTTCTTCCCCTAAATCCTCGTTCGTTGGCCTTGGGGGTTCTGGGTTGGATCGAAGAACCCAGCAAGCACTTTTGGGTTTGCTCGATGAACCCAGCAAGCGCTGTTGGGTTGGATCAAAAAACCTAGCAGGCGCTGCTGGGTTCGATCGATGAACCCAACAAGCACTGTTGGGTTCGATTGAAGAATGCTGGGTTTAATAAACTTCTCTTTCATGTCTCTCCCTTCTTCCTCCCACAAGAATCAAAGTATTTACAGAAATTTGGGATAAGATACATTGATTTTGCTGGGTTTTTTGGAAGGTTGTGAGGGCAGTGATTATTTTGAGGAGATTCTAGGTTTATGTTTGTGTTATGCTTGGATTTGATGTTAGAAAATGTCTAGGTTTGTAGAAGGTGAAAGGAAAAGAAGAGGAAGAAGAAGCAATTGCTGGGTTCCATCAACCTAGCGATTGATGGGTTCAAAATCGAACCTAGTGGCCACTGGGTTCCTTCTAGGTTCAAAGGAACCCAGCTTTCGAACCCAACAAAAGAGAGAAATTAGAAGGGAAAATGTCCAGATCTAGTGTTTGAGGAGGGATAGAGAGAGAGAAACAAAATGAAAGGATGAAATTGCAGGTTTCATTGGGGGCAATTGTAGGTTTCGTTAAGGGCAATTGTAGGTTTCGTCTTTAGGGTTTGTAGAAGGCCAACAAGGAAGAAGGAGGAAGAGGAAAAAAGAGAATTTTTTAAGTATTTTTTGCCATGTCATTATTTTTTTTCCATGCTATCTTCTTGCATGTATTTAATACTTTAACATGTCATCATACTCTAGTTAGTTAACAGGACATGCAAGTGGATATTTAACGGAGGGACCAAGTTGGAGTTAAAATGACAAACAGTAGGGACCAAATCATGGATTTTTAAGTTAAGGGACTAAATCAGGGTCCGTACAATAATTGAAGGATTAAAATAAAAGTTTAACCTAATTGTAAATAAATAAAACAAGATAATTAAATTATATTAAAAAGAATATGAGCATCAATTTAAAATTAATTAACAATAAATAAAAAATATTTATTTATTTTGTATTTTAAAAATATAAGTTAAAGATG